GCCAGAAGTATACCAGGAAATTTGCGTTTCTCTATTTTTTGGACTTACAGACATTTAAAAATGTAGAAAATTGCTGTTTCTATGTCATACTTGTATGTATTTCAATTGTTATTAAACCTCGAGCATGTCGTTCGTTGGTGATTTTAATGTGAACGGATGTTTAGGAATGAGAGCAACTATTTCAGATGAAAATGAGTAGTCAATCCAATTGAGTCCACAATTGGGGTCTATTCCATGGTGTGGTCCACAAGGACAGAAAGCGAATTTTCCGCTCACACACGAAACTTTCTTCGCGGCAAGAACCCCAGCGGTGGACCTGAGGTTCCTGCGGTGAAAAAAAGCTCCGCGCTGTGAAAAGCGGAAAATTCGTTTTCCGTCCAAGTGAACCACACCTATATTCCATTAACACCTTGGAGCCCATGCAGCCCATATGTGGGCTGCAGTCTGTTACCCGTATGGGACCTTATGTCCCAGATTTTGGGAAAAAATGTTCAGTTTTTCTTTTGTTTTCATTCCATTACATTTACTAAGATTTCCTCTGAGTCATTCAATAGGTTTTTGCTCCCAATTCGCTTGATAAGATTCCTAAAAAAATCCATTGAAGTCGCAAGCGGCCGCAATACGTGAAACGTGCGCGGTCTCCAAAGTGATAAAGGGGCATGTGGTGCAACGGTATGTGTTGTCACAGTAATCCCAATTTTTGCAAGGAAAGGAAGCTCTGGGAAGTGGAAGCGAAATGGTTTATGCACCCCTGAAACTCCATGAACTACTGAAACTTTCCTCAATTTTCCTACAGTGAATGGCTAGAGCAAAAACGATAAGAGAACGGCGCCTGGCCCGGCTGAAATCTCAAGAAAGAAAGTGAGAGCCCGAAGGCTAAGCCTCGAAAGTCATGGGTCGGCGTTTACACAAGAGATTGCACGGGAGCATCAAATTAAGGCAGTTCGAAGGACCGAGCTCAAGTAGTCCGTAGACGACTCCTGAGATTTCCTCGGCTGTAACAAATGGAACTGCTCCGGTCTATGGCGCCACATGTCGCTTTACTGGAACAGGTCCGAATTTAGTCTTCTTCTTGATTGTCAGTTGATGTTTTATGCCTGATGCCTTACGACTGGTTCGCTCTGCGAAAGTTATAGAGCAGAGCTATGAGCAAACACTAAGGCGGGTCTAAAACTCGCGTCTCACGTTTACCGGGTAATTGTGCTACCGATTACATCATCGGGCACCATCTCATCCTAAGTTTTCTTTATCAGTACCGCCTACAGTAATTCCAGATTTTCCAGGGGGAAGAAATTTGCGGTTACGTGAACCATATTGCTTCCCTTCTAGCATCCGCCTCAGCTCCCACTCCTCCCTACTAAACTGTACTGGCTTACTGTAGTACACCAACTATTGCACCACATACTCACATACACCACCCCCTGCCGTATAATGTTCATTAACTTGCATTATCCACATTTCCACATGGGTATGCTGCCCAGTTATAATGAGTGGCGGCTCTCAGGAACCCGTTAAAGGCACAACCCAGGCAGAGGTCGTGTGAACGCTTCCCTTCGGTCTGTAGTATAGACCCCTAGAGGACAATCACAAATGTGGCGTTCTCGTGCACGGAAACCATAGACAATCACATAACTTACGAAGTTAACGTGTACGATATACGAAGTTATTACGCTTGGGCCTTACAATGTGAACAGTGTTAAGCTGAAACGCAGATTTTTTCCTATTGTAACGGCTGTCGTCTGCGCTTCTTTAATCTTGTAGCGGTCATATTCGGCCTCGATTGCCTCCTGCTGCCGCGCTAGTCTCTCATTCCCTTAGCACAGCCGATTACGAAGGTGAGTGAGTCCTTAACCTAAGCGATTCCGACGGAAATTCTTTTCTTATTTTCTTTACTGTTGGCCCATTTTGCACCAATACATTCGCATTCGTGTGCAAGAGCCACACCAATGGTAATCCTGGTGGCATGTGCTTAGATACCAGTTAAGACATCAAAATCAAGCTATGCCACGGATAAGGAGTGAAGCGTGTTTGGCAAAGTCAGAATTTCAAGCTGTCGCTCAATATATTCTAGCCTACGATTAATAGTCATAGTTCCAGTCAAAAAGAGCGCGGCTCCAATCACCCCTCAATTATCGCGTTTGACAATTTCAGTGACCATCCATCCGCTGATACCGGTCAGTGAATCTGGCGGGCAATTGCTACACAAACTGGGGCGCAATAATTGCTGCAACACTGGACGCCAACTATCATGTCCACCTCCCGTTGACGCTTACAAATCCCATAGGGGATCGAAGCACGTTCTGAAAAAAAAAACAGCAAGAAATTCGTCGTTCAGAACACCCACAACTTTCGGAACTTTCCAGTACTGGAAGGGAGAGGGATTTGGAGGGAGGGGCAATTAAAAAGCATTTAGTCTCAATCGAAATGGATTTGATTCATAAACAATTCAAACGCGAATTCCAGGTCCGTATAGCATAAAGGGCACATCTCATATTAAAAAATTGCTTGCTGCATGCTACGTTGTCGGCCCTTGCTAAGTGGAAAGGATCAGGAGAATAATTTGGCCCGTGGAAAAGTGAAGCATAGTACGAGTCAAAGGCGTGGTCCTCAAAGATGCCGTGGCAATGAGAATTTATCCAACATTGAATCGATTCACGAAATCACGGTAGGAGCTTCAGGCTGGAAGCAGTTACGGTAGGCCTCCTTGAGCTTGACGACGATGACAGATGACGTCATATTCTGAAGACGGTGAGGGCAGTGGAGGAGGGCCTGCGTCTACTTATAGAGGGACATTTAGAGGATATTTGCTGAAGAACTTCCGTCAACGACGGACAATCTCGCGACGAAAAAATCGCTGAAGTGCAACTAGGTAAAATGATTTTTAACGCCCCCCCCCCCCTCCCCTGTAGGTTGTAAGGGAATAACTTCAAACAAGGGAAAGATATGAAATCTTCAATGTCGATCACTTCCTTTTTGGTCATTGCGCCACACTTTTTCACTACCACTCACGACGGGTGTGTGGTTTTGAGTTAGGAATGGCCTATGCATGATGGGCAATTAAAGTTACGGCAGTATTTTGATCGCTCTCACAAGTCTGAGACGAAAGTTAAAGACGAACCCTTAGATGGTGGTGAAGGCTCGGGTAGTCAGGCTGAGAGTAGATTTGATCACTTGGCCCATACGCATAGTAGTGAATGAAGTCACACGCACCACTTCCCTTCGAGAATTTGTAGAATTATGTATACTGTTAATAAAGGTGAATTTAGAATCAGTTGTGCTGTACGTCGGCAGTAGGCGCAGAGTTTGGTGAATGGAGTAGGTAATATTCTAATTGATGGAGATTTACCATAGCTTAGGATCTTCACCCAAATACAAAACCTTCGATCGATTGTCATAATTTGCGACAGCATGGAGAGAAAATGAAGCGTAAAATGGATTAAAAACGGCAATCTAGATGGTAAATCCATCGAGTACTCGCAGTAGTGCGCGAGTGAGATCGACTTACTCAGCAGGAATGATTGTACGCTTCCCTTATTCTTGTCTCCTAGCATTAATCCGCGCCGTCGGAGTCCGCTGATGTGATCAACGTTGCCACGGAATGTCAGGGCATCTTTCTGTCACAGACCTCGATCAGGGGGATTCTTCTTTGATGACATCTCTCGCCCTGCTTTGGACTCTTCGGTGTTCGACTTGCTTGCTCTCGAATGTCCGTTAATCTTTTAGGGTGACACAACGCGCCTCCAAGCACCGTGTCCACAGATCGAGCGTGTTTCGCACATTCAACAAACAGAGGCCAGTCTGCTATGACCGCTCGCTTACATCCTCTCGCGTTGACAAAAAGGCCCTCAAGGAGAAGTCACCTCAAGAGTCATCAGTCAAAAATTGTGTCATGGGATAACTCTGGCCACCATATTTGAAGATTCGAATGCTGGGTGAGATTCCATATATCCATTGAGAGGGTAGAGTGGTTCCATACAAGAAGCACGGTTATTTTTGACTAGGGTGACTATCAATGTATGGCAGTTCATACGCAATTATTCTGCAGGAAACCTAACTGTTTCTCTGCTCACTGGACACCGTCAATTTGTACCAAACTTTTGTAGTAAAACAAAAAATATAACTTTCAACACCATCGGCCTCGCACGTCATATGCATAGCCAGCACTCATTCAAATCCTCCAGCACAATTCATCCGCTATATACGGCGACCATTTCGAATAACTGCAATGAAGCTGCGTATGCGAATTTTGGACGCACTATTGTCAATGTGGATAGACCTTGCCCAAAACTTCCATTTTTTCAAGCTGAACTTGTCAGGCCAACTCCCAATTCCGAGAACTAGGGTCTCAAGAGTTATGTCCCTCAATGAGCCTTCCTGAGCTGGTACCTCAAAAATGAGTTTGAATAATACTCGACAATTAATATTAAGGTAGCCGTCAATTATATCGCCTTACAATTTCTTACAATGCACCCTCTACCATTGCAGCAAGGTATTCTTGCCATATTTATTGGCAAAACAGTGGGCTGCCTAATAATGCAATGAAACGCATTGTTCCTGGTGAATTCTGCAGCGTTAATTCGAGTTTTTTCCAGAACTTGTGAGTGGTAAACGAGTTGTTCCAATATATCAATAATCTGAAAAACTGAGGAAGTTGCAATAGGCGGAATTTCTAGAAGAAGGCAACCAGCAATCAATACTGTATGAGAAAATGTCAATAACCAAGACCAATTACGCAGGACAAAATGGCGACTATCAACTGCGGACAGCCTCAGCGAGAATAAGCGGTATTCCTTTTTTAGGGCTCGTCAAATCCCAACAAATTACAGGATGCTTGCCGATCCCGAAAAACTATGGGCAAGATGCGACAATGAAAGATCGGCCAGTCGTCGCCGGCACATGAATACCACAACAATAATTTATCACGTAAACACACATATTAATTAAAAGAAAAGGTACGCATCAGAGCAAGAACGAACACCATGCCGTCGTCATAAAACTGATCACACTTCTGCTTGTTCGAGGTGAGGAGGGAACGAAAGGTGAGCACCAGGAGGACTTAACACCTCTATTTTTGTACCCGTCTTGTCAATCACCGCCACGCGGACAACACCACCGGAAGAACTGAAAACAAAAATTTTAGGACTAATTTCGAAAACATATGCCACATTAACCCTTTCCGGACCGCCTGACACACATGGGGTGTCAGGAACTTCAAGAGCTGATTTTTCCAAGATTTGGTTTTTCGATAAAATATTTTATGTTGTTACATATCTATGTAACATACTCATGCCGTATGTATGAAAAACCTCGGACTTTGATCTTAAACTGCTTCCTAAAACAACTGAAAGGTACTAGACTACCACTTTTGAGCTAAAAAAAAAACAGTAATTCACTTGAATACATTCCATACAAAAGAATTTACGATATCGTGCACGTTGTATCTTGATATTGATCGGAAATTTTCGGACAATTTTAATCCTTTTTCCCCACTACAACTCATTTTGAACAATTTTCATTCATGTATCCTTTTCTGTGGCCCTATCGCTTTTAATACATGACGGTTTTCTGTCATATTCACCACAAATATACTTGTGGACATGGAATACACAAACGAGACAAAATAATGGTTTGATGGAAATACAGGTTAAATATATATTTATGCTCGCCGCGCAGCACGCAGCGGTGAGCATAAAAAGGCGCCGGCCACACGCGCCCGCCACGGCAAAAATGTGCGATTCAGAGTGGGTTAAGATCGTAGTGCGCCCTTTTCAGAGGAGTTTGGATTGCAGCAAGTTATGCTAAGGGTAGAAATAAAATGAGAGTAAAGTTATAGTGAGTACGATCCTGATCCTTAGTGAAGATGCAAGTACACCTGCACATGTTCCGGCAATCCATAAAACATGGAAACAAAAGTCTCAAGACTCCTACCCGTGATAATTAAAATTCAGAATGCTTTCAACAGTTGTGCATGAAATTGTTTAAAGCAATGTTGCATTATGCAGCGTCTCGAAACCCAAATTAAATCAATATTCACCCATCACGGAAGGTTGCCAGTCCAACAGCTTGCTTTACAATTGCTCTGCACTCATCTCTTGTCAGATTCGGTTTCCATGCGTTATCGAGAAATCCCTAAACGCAGACATAAAAGAGAAAAACTTCAAAAAATCATAGAAGAAACAGTAGAAATACCGTATACACATACGTGATATATGGTATCTATTCCGTAGATCCCGAACCAGAAGCAGTAGACTTTTGCCGAGTCACAAAACCACCGATGGGAAGAGCATAGAGCTGAAATTTCGTGATTCTCACCAATAATGATGCACGATGGTCTTTGCATGAAAAAAAAACCGCACTTGTCCTCCACATTTCTCGTCCCATCCAGCCACGAGAACTGACGCGGATAGTTGATCACGATAGTTATAAAGGAATTTACGGAAGATCTGTGTAGCTCGGTAAATAGTGACAGGTTCTTGCTCCAGCATTCTGAATAACATTCGCTCTACGGCATAATTTTATATATTCAGACTTATTCTTTAGTAAGAGAAAGGGCAATGAAAACAACTGCTAAGTGGGACACTCAACTGGTGTCAGAGATCCGCGATCCGTCGCGCGATTCGCGGACTCTGACACCCTCTAAGCGCGCACCAGCCTAACTCCATTTAGAAATTAGTTAATCAATTTAGAGGGTATATATGCAACGGTGTACACCACATTGCAAATGGGCAGTATAACTTGGTGACCCTCGCTGGTATGAAGCTGGTATCAGAGTCTGCGATCCTTCGCGCGACTCGAGCGAACCGGGTTTCTGACATTACCTGCGAACTCAAATTCACTTACGTGTAAACTTCAAGATGATACTTGACTATATCAGCAATAGCTTGAGTGTCCGCTGCAGTTCCAGAACGACATACTACCAAGTGATCGGTGATCGGTGTGATTTTATTCGTAGCTCGCGAAGAAATAAAAGATCTGGAAATTTACACTTTGTGAAACATACACAGTTCCAAACATAGGGATGGTGTTATCCCGTTGAAACCCTGCCCCATAAGAAGAATACTTATGAAGGGGAAGAAGTTGAAGAAGTGAAAGAAGATATCTCAAAAAGAAACTAGTGCAACCAAAACAAGTGATTGAAATTTAAATAATTTGCTTTTTCAAGGAAAAAAAAACAATGGAGAGCGCTACCGTGAACATTGAGTAGCGCTATTAACGAGTGTTTTGCCACATCATAAAATTTTCAAACACATTCATTCGAACATCAACTTCAACCTACTTTCAACGGTATTCGCCTTCACTACCTACGATTGGTGGTTTTCTCGCTGCCGGGGTTTTAGGACTTCCTTAGCTACCGTTGGTCTAGTGCAAGAGTAACTTTTTCAATCAGTCGAGCGCTGTTTCAGAAAAAACCCTTGAATGCGGCCTCGATTCAGCCCCCCGCTACAGT